GCATACCACCATCACGACTACCACTTTACCAAGCATGAGGGTCCTTTTCTAGGAACTGATCCCTCCTGATAATATGGCTGAAGTATGAGAGACAAACTCACCATTCTTGCTTTTAAGCTGTACTTCTTCCAACACAGATTTGTTTGTTCTTCTGGCAGTCCATGGTACTTTTAATATTATCCTCCAACACCATAACTCAAATGCATCAATTCTTCCGTGGTCTTTCTTATTCATTGTCTAACTTTCACATATATATGAGGAGATTGAAGAGACCATGGCTTAGGTCGGGTGCACCCTTGTCCTTGAACTGACATCTTTGGTCTTAAACACTTTAAAGAGGCCTTGTGAAGCAGATTTGCCCAATGTAATATGTTTTTTTATTTCTTGATTGCTGCTTCCTTGAGTGTTGGTGGTGGATCCAAACAAAATGAAATCATTGACAACTTAGTCAAATAATATAATCTGTTTGATTTTGATCTCTTCTATCTATTGGCATCTGTTGAGACTTTTTAAAATGTTCTGTGTGCTCTTGAAAAGAATGTATATTCTACAGCTATTCTGTATTCTGTTATCTATTTTTATTTGTTATTCAAATCTTCTAAATCTTTACTGATTATTTTATTTTATTGCTTCTTTTCCTATCAGTTTCAGGGAGAAGTAGATTCAGATATACTATTGGTCATTCCTTCTTTTGCCAATGGCTGACCAGTTTATTTTAGACCAACCTTTCTAGCAAAGCCAAAATGAAATGTCCAGCCCACAACTTTGGATATTAATCCCCTTCCATCTCTGAAACTTCTGAGTTTAATACCAATCTCTGAAGCAAGACAGCTATGTACAAAGGTACAGGGTGTTCCTTAGTGTACCTGGAGGTGAAATAGAGTGTCCTGCCTGCCAGGTGACCCCATAGCTTCTTCTCAACTGTTTCTTTTATCTAATTGTATGGCTAGAAACAATTCATTGGGTTTGTCCTAAGGCAATTACTCCTTGTTTTTGTGGGCAGTACAGTGAGGACTTGTTGATCCATCCTAGGTAAGTTTCCTTCTGCACAATGCCCCTCCACAATCCTACTCCCCATCAGACCCCCATTGAAATCATAACTCAGACCTTTGAGTTCTAGATTTACTTTAGGAAACTTGAAAAGAGAGGGGTTCCATATATACATTCAATGCCAAGAGGCTGAGTTCAGGTTCAATACCTACCTAGATGCCTGTGTCTGTTGGGTTTGTTTGTTTTTGTTAATTTTAGCAGAACAATATTTGCTCTTCAAAACTTAGTGTGTTTTATGGGTGCAATATCAGAGTCCAAATGGAAAACGTTAACAATTTAGCATGTGTTCTTTTGCCACTTTATCATACTTTGGTGGTTTGTGTGTTGCTGTGATGCTGTAAGCTATGTCACTGGTATTGTAATACCCACAGGGTACACTCATGGTGGACAGGTTTCAACTGAGTTTCCATACTAAGACAGACTAGGAAGGAAGAGAGATGGACCACTTCTGCATGTTTAGCCACTGAAAGCCTTGTGAATAGTAGTGGAATACTGTCAGAAATCACCAAAATATTGAATATTGAAACATGATGAACAGCACCAGAATATTGTCAGATATAATGCTAGACAATAAGCCCCTCAGATTGAAAGGCACTCAAAATACAACTGGATAAGAGCTGCCTCCTCAAAGTACAGTTGACCCTGATGAAGCAAATGGAGTAAAGCCTTCTGGACCTTTATTTTTGGATGGAACACAACTAAAAATGAACATTAACTGAGTAAATATTCATTTAAATTTGGAACATGGAATGTAGGAAGTATGGCTCTAGGAAAATTGGAAGTTGCCAAAAATGAAATGGAATACATAAAGATCATTATCCTAGTGAGCTGAGATGGACTGGTATTGGCCATTTGAATCTGACAAGCATATGGTTTACTATACCAGGAATGACAAATTGCAGAGGAATGGTGTAACACTCATCATCAAAAAGAACGTTTCAAGATCTATCTTGAAGTATAATGCTGTCTGTGATAGGATAATAGCCATATGCCTACAAAGAAGACCAGTTAATACCACTATTGGTCAAATTAATGCACCAACCACTAAAGCCAGTGATGATGAAATTGAAGAATTCTATCAACATGCAGTCAAGATGTATTGATAATTACTGGTAATTGGAATGCAAAGGTTGGGAACAAAGAGGAAGGATCAGTAGTTGAAAAATATGGCCTTGGTGATAGAAATGATGCTGGAGATAGCATTCTAGAATTTTATAAGACCAATGATTTATTAATTGCAAGTACCTTTCTTAAGCAAAATAAAAGATGACTGTATACCTGGACCTCACCAGAAGAAATACACAAGAATTAAATTGACTGCATCTGTGGGAAGAGATGGTGGAAAAGCTCCATATCATCAGCTAAAATCAGGCCAATGGAACAGATCATCAATTGTTCATATACAAGTTCAGGCTGAAGCTGGAGAGAATTAAAACAAGTCTAATAGAGCTAAAATACGACCTTGAACATGTCCCACCTGAATTTAGAGATCATGTCAAGAACAGATTTGATGTATTAGACAGAAATGACCTAGACCAGAAGAGTTGTGGGGTGGCATCAAGAACATCATACAAGAAAGCAAAAGCTAATTAAGAAGAACAAGAAGGAAAAGACCAAATGGATGTTCGAAGAAATTCTGAAACGTGCTCTCTAGTATAGAAATACTAAAGCAAATAGAAGAAAGAAAGTCAAAGAGCTGAACAAAAGATTTCAAAGGGCAGCTCAAGAAGACAAAGTCAAGTTTTATAATGAAATGTGCAAAGACCGGGAGTTAGAAAACCAAAAGGGGCGAACATGTTTAGATTTCTCAAGTTGAAAGAACTGATGAAAAAATTCAAGCCTCAACTTGAAATATTGAAGGATGCTATGGGCAAAATATTGAATGATGCAGAAAGCATTGAAAGAAGATGGAAGGAATACAGAGTCATTGTACCAAAAAGAAATGGTTGAGAAACAAAACAAAATAATAAAAAGAAAAGAAATGGTTGATGTTCAACTATTTCAAGAGGTAGCATATGATGAAGAGCCAATGGTACTAAAAGAAGAAGTCCAAGCTACATTGAAGGCATTGGAAAAGAACAAGGCACCAGGAATTGATGGAATACAAATTGAAATCTTTCAACAAAGTGATGCAGCATTGGGGACACACACTCATCTATGTCAAGAAGTTTTTTGTTGTTGTTTTTTACGCTAAACATAGATCAATTTACGTGTCTTTCTTTAAATGCACATCTTGCATCAAAAAACAAAATGTGACATTGACAAAGGACATCATGAGAAGACAAATTAATATAATGAAATGTGCACAAAGACCTTGAGTTAGAAAACCAAAAGGAAAGAAGAGGCCCTGGCATTGTTTGGTCTGATAATATTGAGCTTTTCCACCATCTTTTTCTCACAGATCTTGGTGCTGTCAAGTCAGTTCTGACTCATAGTGACTTTATAGACAACAGAACACAACACTGCCTATGCAATCCTCACAATTGTTGTTAAGCTTGAGCCGGCTGCTGCTGCTACTGTGCCAATCCATATCACTAGGAGATCTTCCTTTTTCCCACTGACCCTTCACTGGAGGGTCACTGAAAGAGAGGGAAACCCCCAACAAGATGGATTGGCACAGTGGCAGCAGCAGTGAGCCCCAACTTCAATGACTGGGAGGATGGCGAGGGTCTGGGCAGGATTTTGTTCTGTTGTGCATAAGGTCGCTATGAGTTGGCGCTAACTCAACTACTCCTAACAACAACAACTTAGTAAAAAAATTAATAACCCAATCTTGTCAGCTACTTCATCTCTTATTATAGGGGTGGGCATGGGTGGGTTATCAGTCTTTTATTGACTTTGTGTTCCCCTACCCCCTCCCTCATTCCATATTTAATCATGTCAAGGAGGAAAAAATAATGTTCACTCAGATGTCCCAATTCCTCTCCATCCTTCAAGGTGTAAACAAGCATCCCTTCTCCCAGGAATCCTGTCCTGGTACAATTCCTCTTTCCTCTATACTGTCAAGCACTGACTCCATGTCCCATTGATCTCTTCCTGTCATGCCCAACCTGGCCTCTACTAATTTAGATCATATAAATTAACCCTTTCCTGGGATATGTTTTTAAAAATTCAGACAAAGTTAGTTTTATATGGGTTTTGAAAAGATTCATGGATGGATGCTCATCTCCCAGCAAAAAACAGAGGTACTTCCCTGCATTTTAATAGCAGGGAAAGGGTAGAGGAAAAAAAAGAAAGAAAATAGAACAAAATACAGCATTTCCCCCTTTATTTTGAAGTTGCAGCTGGTTATTAATTGTATAATTTTATGAAGTCAGGCAAAAGACAAAGTAAGAGAGACAAAGTATACTCTGGGCCCACTCCCACACCCACAACTGGACAAGAAGATGGCCCCACAGAAGGTTGTGTAGTGCTCTTCCAAGACCTGCTAGTCGTCCTCCAACTTTCACTGGTGGTATAAGGTCTAATCATCGGCCACCGTGTTTTTTATTTATTGTCCAATTTGTTCCCTGGAAGACAGAAGGGATGGATATTCAGTCACTACACAGTCTGGAGAAACAGATTTCTTTAAGTGTAACTGATCCTCCCAAACTCTAGAGATAGAGATGTTTTCTGTGATTTAGGAGATGCCCCTTAGGCTTCTCCAAGGATGTATTAAGTCCAACAAGCAGAGAAACATAGATTCTGGATCTCCTGGGTTTGGGCTAAATCAGATAAGTTGGCAAGTGGAGAAGGGCAGGTAGACTAAGAGTGGCAGAGGGACATGGGGACCAAGTAAGGAGAACTGCTTGGATGTAATGGTGGAGTAAAGTGTTTTAAGGTTGAAATGAAGAAGCAAGGGCCCCAGATTAGATTGGATTTTGAGTCTTCTGCTGTCTTTTTCCTCCAAATTTGGGAGTCCATAGTTTTTGAGAGCTGGTCAAAGAGGGAAAGCACACCTCAGATCTTACCCATTTCATCGAGAAGCATGCAGACTTTTCCACAGGAGGCATTGCAGCAATGGTAATCAATCTGACATTCCGAGTGCAGCCTGCAGAACATGTCATGACACTGTGCTTCAGTGGGAGACTTTTTGCAGGGTTTCAGTGCTGGAGATGGTAAAACTGAGAAGGAATACATGAGCAATAACTCTAAGAAGAGTTTTGTTTTGTATTACCAGCCCCTCCAAGGCCTTAGGACCCACTCCACTGGCTTCACTTCTTCCTGGAAAGGCTTTTTGGTTCCCCGAGTCAATATCCTCCCCAGCATATCCAACCATTGAGCATTCAACCCATGCAATTTAAATTCTTAGAACTTGAGTCCTCAACAACAGAGTCCTGAGAGATCTGTTAGTCTGCCACTCCCATTTCACAGGATGGAAGGAACTGACCATCCCAAGAGTGGGGAAAGAAACTCCACCCTGGGATGAAATGGATGGCCCTATAAAACTGCAGCTTCCCCCTCTCCATATCTACCTAACACTCTTCTCTCAACCTTTCTGCTGATTTCGGTGTTTTGTTTTCAAACTTCTCTTCTTCAAGAATGTATTTTATTTCTCCTCCCCAGGCCTGATGTGCTGAAATATTCAATTCCTTTAACAAAGAGCATGTTTTAAGAAATCATTAGTATGCCTTTTCAAATTAAATGCTCATCCATGGCACTCTTAAATGAGGATCTGGTCTCTTAATAGCTTGAGATAGGTACCCTCCGTACATGCTCTGGACCCTGTAAATTGCTTCAGTATCCTTCCTCTTGGGCAAAAACTCCACAGTCTTCCAAGCCCACATAAAAACTTGTAGCATCAGGAATCCCTGGAGCTTGATAAAGAAACATTCAGTTTTCCTTGAGTATCCTGGCTTGAAAAGGCGGGGTAATGTTTTTCTCTATGCCAGGATCTAGTTCGTCTCTGCAACTAGACTGGGAAAAGTCCTCCTGTGTACCACCCACCCCACATTTTGAGGCCCAGTCAGAATACCTACGTTGGCCTGGCAATTCAATTACAGAATCAACTCTTTCTTGCAAGTTTCCCAACACTGGCAGCATCACCATGCAGAGAAGTATCAGCAACTGGAGAAACAACTGCTTCATGATGTTGACTCTGGGTATCTGAATGTAAGCCTGGCAGGTGACCCAGGATTTTCTCAGGTCCTGCTGGGGGTAGGGAAGGATTGCAGAATAGGGAGTTAGGAAAGCACATGACTGACCTCACACTACCCTCCTCTGCCCACCATTCCTTGGCCAGGAATTGGTTTCCCATGAGGTACTTTCTTATCCCTTATATTTTGTCATTGCAATATTTTTGGTAAACATAAGTTTTTAATTTTAATGTAGTTCAGTTTATACATCATTATTCTTATGTTTAACAGTTTTATCTCCCATTTGAGAAGACTTCGCCTACCTCAAAGTTTTTTCTTTTAAACTTTTTATTGTGAATTGAGTGAAGGTTTACAGAGCAGATAATTGGTTTTACATTTGGCAAATTATACACTTTGTTTCATCTTAATGATTACAATCCCCTCCATATAACATCAGTTATCCTACTTCCTCCTTGTGATTCTTGTTTCCATTCCACTCTCCTTCCCAACCCTCCTGAACTTTGTCCTTAGGTAAATGCTGTCCTTTTGATCTTGAATGGTTGACCGTTCTGTGATACCCCAAAGTTTTTAAGATGGTATCTATGTTGCTTTTTAGAAGCTTATGGTTTAAATCCGTAATCAATAGATTTAAATTCCACTGTCTTCTCCCTTCTATTGTTTCCAGTGAGAAGTCAGCTATCAATCTTACTGTTGCTCTTTAAAGGCAATATACTTTTTTTCTTGCTCAGATTTTAAGACTTTCAATTTGTTTTTGGTTTTCAGCAAAATCAAAATGTTGCATCTAGATGCCTGGTTTTTCTGTGATGTCCCTAAACATGGTTTTCATGGAACTTAAAGGACTTCTTGTACCTGTAGATTAATGTCTTTCATCAATTTTAGAAATTCATAGCCATTTCCCTTCCTTTGCTCTGTTCTCTCATTCTTTTACTCCTGGGTATCCAAGTACAAATGTATTTGTTCTTTTCATTTTATGTCATATGGCACATTCACTCTTTTCCATACACAAACACACATATGTATGTGTATGGCTTTTTATTTATCTCCCTGCTTCAGTCTGGATATTTTCTGCTAATATCTTTCAGTTCAATCAACCTTTCTTTACCTGGCCCAATCTTCTCTAAACACTATTTATTTGATTTTACTTATTGCATCTTTTAATGCTAAAGTTTTTGTTTCTTATAATATATATATATTCTAATTCACTGGTGAAATTAGCCATTTTTCTTCCATTTTGTTGAGCATACTAATTTAAGTCATTCAAAAGTTCACATCTAATAATTCAATTATCAGTATCACCTGTGGGACTATTCCCATCATTTATCCTCCCTCCCCATTCCCCCTTGGTATGGCTAGGTAACTTTGTTGGAATGCTGTAAATTTTGTATGGAAGTTTACAGATACTCTGTATAATATTTTCTCCCTCTTGAATGATGTCTTTTGTCTAGTGGCAAACATTGGGCTCATGCACGACACGATTGTGAAGATGGCACAGGGTCAGACAGTGTTTCATTCTGTTGTGCAAAGGGTTGCTGTGAGTCAGCACCAACTTGATAGCATCTAACAACAACAGTAGCAGATATTAAATTAGAGGAAGGTTAGCTTATTTAATCAGAGATCAAACTAATTTGAAAGTAGATTTCAATATTTGTAAGTCCTGGTTTATTTTAGTTTATCTTACTCCTAAATATGCAAATACAGCCCAGAGCCCTGGTGTGGCACTGTGGGATAATGCACTGGATTGCAGGGTCAGTTTGAACCACAAGGTCAGTGATTCAAATTCACCAGCCAATTCTTGGAAACCCTATACAAGGTCTCTATGAGCCGAAACTGACTTCATGGCACTTAACAACAACAAGAGTATAGTCATTTAATAGTCTTAGCTGAAAGCCCTAGATAAGGCTGAATTTTGAGGTTCCCATCTTTAGTTTCTTTCCCTAGCACAATTAGATTTCTTGCAGCCCTGCTTAGCTGTCAACCTTTCAAATTTTCTGATTGCTTTGTACCATTTGTTGTTGTTGTTGTGAAGTGCCGTCGAGTCAATTCCATCCCATAGCGACCCTGATAGGGTTTCCGAGGAGCAGCTGGTGAGCTTGAACTGCTGACCTTGCAGTTCAAACAGCTTTGTAGTCTGGTGCATTAACCATTTAGGAATTGGCAAATGCCAGGTAAAACATTGTGCAGAGTATCAGGCTCAGCCAGACACTCTGGGATATTGGCCTCTCGAGAACTGGCTTCCCTGGCTGCCTTCACTTCCAGTTTTGTGTTTCTTGGTTTTTTATCCATCCTGTGAACAGGCTCAACCATTGTTATGTGCCATGGAGTCAGTTCCGACTCATAGTGACCCTGTACAAGGTTTCTGAGGCTGTAAATCTTTACGGGAGCAGAAAGCTTCATCTTTCTCCCGCGGAACAGCTGGTAGTTTCAAACTGCTTACCTTGCGGCCCAGATCCCGATTCGTAACCACTATGCTACCAGAGCTCCATGGCCCAACCATTACTCTACATTTTAATTTTGGTAGGCTTTTCAGCCTCTCACTCTATGCTACTTACAAATTGCAAATGACTCTCAGGGAAAGTGGCATAGCATGCCAGGCACATCTTAAGTCAAATTCTATTCTTGTCAAATTTTCGTTCTTCAAGTATTATTGCTTTCACACAACTCTGATTCAATTAAACAAATTAAACTATTATTTTAATTTAGTCTCCCGAGTTATTCTTGGAAGGAGGTTTGATGTGCTGTGATCAAGTCCATCATAGGCAAAAGCTGAAGCCCTACAATATACTTTTTATTGATTCTAGGTATTACTCAGACTCTGGTGTGGCACTGTAAGATAAGTACTGTCGTTGTTAAGTGCCATAAAGTTGGTCTGACTCATAGCAACCCAGTATAGGTTTTCGAGGAGTGGCTGGTGAGTTTGAACCACCAACTTTGTGGTTTAAACCAACCTTGTGGGTCCTATGCTTATCCTACAGCATCACACCATTAATCAGTGTATTGATCTCTTATTAGGGGGTGTTTGGGTATCACCCGGAGCATTTAAACACAGATGAGAGACATTCCTGAATGTGATTCACATTTTACCACTTGCTAGGCTTTGACCTTAGGCAAGTCATCTGATCTCACTGAACCTCCATTTCCTCATCCTTAAAATATGTATAAGCTTATACTCTTCCCTTCTTTTCTTCCCTTGCATTTCCCCCAACTCCACCACTACCAATATTCAGACTTAAAATCACTAGGTCGGACAGAGCAAGGTAAGCATAGGCATCGGGGTTTGAGTGTAGGAGGAAAAGCAACAGTTCTGGGTGAGGTGTCTGAACAGTGTAGTATCTGCTTAGTAGGACCACTTGCACAAAGTTTTAGAGCCCAAATACAGTTAGGAGGCTATCCCCACAGAGGGGTGACCCAGCCTGGGAAGTTGTAGCACAAGCCAGGTGAGGAGGGCATCCACATAGGGGTATAGTATCATGTAAGTAGTCAGAGACCTGGAGTGTGTATACGTGGAGAATCCATCGATATGTGGAGGCAACCCAATGCAGAGCTTCTGAACTGAGCAAGAAGAGGAGGGCAGTCCTTCCAAAGTGTGGCCTGACATGAGGGCATCAAAGCCCAAGCAATGGGGCATGGAAAGTTAGAGCCAAGTGAGACAGAAAGGCTTCCACACAAGGTACGTGACCCAGACAAATTACTGGAGCGTGCACAAGTGGGAAAGGCAATGGACGTGGAGAAGAGGGGTAGCACAATGGGATCGTCGGTACATACAGGAGATTGATCAAACTACTAAATATATTAAGGATACTAGAAGCTAAACTCACTGAGAAGAGAGATCTAAATATACAAACAGGAATATTAAAGTAATTACAAATAGTGGTATGAACTCATGATTTTCATGATACCTAGATCCACACAGAAATGAATAAACTAGTTAAATGTGCAGATATACACACGCAGTCCCTGGTTCTGACCATTAAAAGGGACTAGGAGACATTTTACCTCTATAGCAAGGAACATGCTTAGCTCCCAGATTCTGGCTTCTAAATAACTTTTTTTTTTTTTTTTTTCACTAAAAGGAGCCAGAACTCTTGGAGAAATGGCTGATTATAGACCTGGAACCGGGGAAGTTTCCATAACATAACATAACATAACATAACATAACATAACATAACATAACATAACATAAGCCTCCTAGTAACATCTGTGCCAGAAAACAAGAAATTTCTTAAGGAACAGTGGGAATATATTAAAAGAGGTTTCTACTGGTCCAGTCTAAAACAATTTGAGCATCAAAAAAATATTATAATAGTAATTGAAATAGCCTAACAGAGTAAAAAACAAACCATGAGTTTGTACTGATGTAAACAAATTAATAAATGGAAACTTTGATGAGGAGAGGGATAATTTTAATAATTTCAAAGCACTTCCCCATGAAACAGTTGTTAATTACAAAAGAAAAAGAGTAGCTTTGCAAAAATTGAAAGACTTATTCAATTATTGCTTACAAGTGATCAAAATGACCTATCAGTAATGGGACAGATTGAAATCGTGTGTCCCACGGTAGGATGGCAATGAGAAGATGTGGAATCATTTCTACGAGATGCTTCAGATGTAAGCCTGAACCTAATGCAAACAACTTCAAACATTGAGGAACATGTGTAAAATACCTGACCTGTAATATTCCATAATGGAAAAGGCATGAAGATTAAGTAAAGACAGAGGAACTTCCCCAGACTGAAAGATACTAAGGAGACATGGCAATTGAATGCAACACATGAGTCTGAAGCGGGTCCTTTTGCTAGAAAAGATGCTATTAGGTAAATAAAAAAACATGTGGCGTGTAAGACTGTAACGTATCTTTTTCTGATTCTGATGGTTGGATTGTGGTACTGTAAAAGGATGCCCTTGTTTGTGGGACATACACCCTAAAGTATTGGGGATGGCAAGGCATAATCTGGCAATCTCATCTGAAATGATTCAAGATAAAAAATTTTTTAAGAAGTTATTTGTACTATCTTCGCAACTTTTCTGTAAGCTTAATATTGTTTCAAACTAAAGAAATAATAATGAAAATGATAATAATGGGAACAACTTCATGGGTATACTTGAGATGAGTGGGTACAGTCTATCACAAGGGACGTGCTCCAGAAATGTTATTTTACTAATTTTAAATGGAGAAAGGGTGTAGGGCCGACTATCTCAACCTCTCCTGCACTCTGGCATTTTAGATAACTATTTGGTGTACTTTGGAGGATGTTTAGCAGCATCACCAGCCTCTTCTAAGCATACCTCTGAATGTGAAATTGCCAAATGTCCCCTAGGGGGCGACATTGCCCTGAGTTGAGACTAACTTCTTGTGCCATCAAGTTGGTTCCTACTCATAGTGTTTACGAAGAGCAGCTGGTGGATTTGAACTACTGAGCTTGTGGTTAGCAGTCTGATGCTTGACCTACAGCACCACACCAGGACTCACTGGTATAGGGTAAATAAGAGTGAAATGGGCTGAGAGGTGGGCCTAGGGGCAGAGTAAAGTGGGCGCTCAGTTACATTCTCATCTTCTACCTTCTTACTTGGCAGCCTTTGTCCTTCTCTATTTCTTGCTTTTTGTCTTAGATCTTGAGGCAAAAACACGAAAGGTATTGAGAGTGCTGAAGGAAAGTGAAAATGCTGAGCTTTTTTTTTCATTATAACAATCACAGAAATCATGTACATTACAAATAATGCTTTCCCTGATATGTTATTAAAGAACATTTGGATTCTCACTAAAATCTCAGACTTAAGGCAGAATTTCCCATAAGCACATTGTCTAAAATACCTTGAAAAGAGTCAAAGCAGGTAAAAATTTTAAGACACACCTGAAATATATAAAGTATTAACAAGAAGGATCAAGCAAATTCTTTGTAGTGGTTGTGTACCGTCAAGTCATTTCCCAGGGTTTCCGAGGCTGCAGATCGTTACTAGAGCAGAAAGCCTTATCTTTCTCCCGTGGAGTGTCCGGTGGATTCAAACTGCTAACCTTGCAGTTATCAACCCAACACATAACCAATATGCTGCCAGGGCTCCTTTAGTTATGTAAAAAGTGATGAATTTCAAAAAACTAGAATTTTAGATAAATTGTTCATTAGATGATAGAACGATTTTAGAAGTTTTTGAGGAGGCAGAAGCAATAGATGAAAATTAGGGAGAAAAACAGTTAGAGGTTTAAAGTACAGGTGAAATGTTCTACTAAACCGTGAAGTCCTAGAGGTTTTAAGCTCTTATTTTTAGATGTTTCTCTTGTCCTCTTCACTCATATTCAGTAGATACTCACTTTATGTGTTAATACAAGTAGATCAGAGGCTGCATCAAACAACTCCAGAGTTCCAGTGCAAAAGTTTGTTTTTCACTTATGTCACATCCAAATGCAAGGTTGTAGGGAGTTGGCACTTTCTCACACAGTCAATCTGGTGTCGTGCTCCTTCTATGCCTCCACCCTCGCCTGAGTCTTGGTTGTCTTCTTCAATCAGCTAATGCATGGGGAAAGATAACAAAGATCTTACCTGGGAAGTTTTATGATCCACACTCATCAATGGCACACATCACTTCCAGTCACAGCCCATTGACCAGAACCCACTCCCAAGACTAGACCTAAAAGCACACGAGGCTGGAAGGAAAATGCTTATCTGTGTGTGCAGTGATACTAAGACTCTACGCTATCTCTAGAACTACATTCTCAGTGTGGTTTTAGGAAGAGAGTTTGCTAAGTATAAGATGATAGAGTCAATAATGTTCAATACGAATGAATAAAGCTTTCAATATGGGTCTCCAGATAAAGTCTTTCAAATAGTTTCCATGGCCCCTCTCCCATTTAGATTACCTTGCCTTTACTTGTCATAAATCCAACAGCAAGAACTAGGTCTATAGTCTCTTGACTATTCTGTATGTGCAACAGCAACATTGGCTGTCCCATCACTGAGGTGATGATCTTGGTTTGAGCACAAGCTTTGCAGAGGATTCATCTGTGATCTTCTACTGATACCAAGTCCCAGGTACAGAAGCAAGAAGTAAGGCAGAGGCTGAGCAGAATGAGGTTAGACATGGGGCACAGAATGATGCTCTAGATTCTTGGCAACTGCATTTAGCACAAAGAAGAGTGACAAAATGTTTCCAGGAGAGGAGTGCTTTGTGGGTATTTATTTGGACTAAAACACACTTCTTGTTGTTATTATGTGCCGTGGAGTCAGTTCTAACTCATAGTAACCCTGGATTGGGTTTCCAAGGCTATAAATCTTTACAGGAGCAGAAAGCCTCATCTTTCTCCCACAAAACAGCTGGTAGTTTTGAACTCCTGACTGTGAGATTAGTAGCCTGATTTGTAACCACTATGCTACCAGAACTCCTTAAAACACATTTGTCTACATTAATGTTTCTCTGAAAAGTTACATGTGTGACTTGTCCATATTGTATCCTCATGGGTACATAGTGGGTACATCGTCTCGCTGGGTTAGTCACTTCCCTGTCTGCCCACTGCACTGACACGTCTGTGGTCCCATATAAGGTAGAATAGGTTATTTTCTGGGTGAGTGTGGCTCAAGATAATGGTTGCAAATGGAGGACTCCTTGAAGCAAACAGGATGGCTCAGGACACTGTGTAACAACAGAGGAGACATTTGGAGCTGGTTCAAATCACGAGCATGTGAGGGAAATCATTGTCTGCAGAAATAGATCCAGTCCTTTTACATTCATCCCCAAAGGGATTTAAAAGTAAAAGAAAATACAAGATTCAGAGTTGAACACCAAGTTAACACCCAGTTTGATGTTGTTGTTCTTGATGTTGATATTGATCCTCAAGGAGCTCTGGTAACATAGTAGTTACAAATCAGGCTGTGAACCACAAGGTCAGCAGTTTGAAACTACCAGCTGTTCCGCGGGAGAAAGATGAGGCTTTCTGCTCCCGTAAAGATTTACAGCCTCGGAAACCCTGTATAGGGTCGCTCTGAGTCGGAACCGACTCCACGACACACAGCCACCACCACCACCTACAAGTAATTAAATTCTTGAGTTTGATGGGAGTGCCCACTGTGCCAAACACTTCCCAACTCTAGACAGGTTTTTTGTTTGTTTTCTGCTTAGGGGGATGTAGGCAAAAGTTCCTGAAACTTTCCCAATTAATTTGTACAAGTCTGTGAGGTGCTCTTTGGATAACCCTGCTTGAAAAAGATGCTATTGTTCAAAGGGCACAATAATGCCATGAAGCCAGCACCAGGTATGCTGAATGTACTCACTTCCTGTTTATTCAGGGACAGAACTCAGCTCTGTCCTTCCTCAAGGTCCATTCTTACCACCTACACAGTCTCAATCCTTGGATCATCCAGTACAGAACACAGCACACCCAGGGGTGATAGAACCTGGAGTTTCATAATGTTAACTTACATTCTTGTGTGTATATTTCTTTGAGGAGTGCCTTTTGGAATAACAAGGAAGAAGGAAGGAAAATGAGGAAGACAATACCATCCTTAGACCAAAAAAAATGATCCTCTACTTGGGGTCTCTCCTCTAGTTCCACCCTTCCCCTCAGGACAAGGAGTCCATGGAAATAAGGAGAGATGGCCACCTAGAATTCACATTGTCACTTCTAGATTATGCTATGAGTACCAAGGATCCCCACAAATGATCAGATAGCAAACCTTTTCAAAGATGTGTCCACCCAAAAATGAATCTAGTCATTGATGGGCCTAAGGATTGGCAAAGGGACAATTGTTTGTGAGGTATGTGCCCAGAGCTTAGATATGTGGGCTTTGGTGTACTTATGAGGCTCCCTGCTGTCGAGACTAGAGCAGAGAAGGAGGAGGAAAAGCCAGAGTCTGGATAGTGAGGCTGAGGTCAGCTCTCTCCACATCCTCCCATAGCTCTGCACAGAACTGTAAGGAATCCATTAGTTCTCAGTTCAAACATATCCATTAGTTCTCTGTCCAACTAATTATGAAGGTAAATTTGTCAAATTAGGAAGGTAAACTATTTATCACGGTCATTCATAATACACTATTTAGACCTCCATGTTTATACTTCATCTGGGTTCCACATATGTGAAGGGTGGGCCAGGAGAAAGCGGGTGCTTCTGACCACCTTCTCACCTCACCTTCTGGTTCTTTTCAGTACCCATCTGTCCACCTGTCACCATGCTACTTTTATATCCATCATCAGCTTTCCACACATTCTTCTACATTGTCCTTATACATTTATTTTTATAATTACAAAAGCAAGCCATATTTATTGTAGGACACTGCTAATGTGCTGAGGAGTACAAAGAGGAAAACAGAAAATGATCAGTAACTTAATGGTTCTAACATATCGTGTCGAGTTGGTTCCGACCCATAGCAACCCTGTATATGGTTTCCGAGGAGTGGCTGGTGAGCATGAACCACCAAGCTTGCAGTTCAAACTGACTTTGCAGTCCAGCTCATTAACCCACAGTGCCACACCAGGACTCTTGATCCAAGATAGCAACAGTTATAATTTTGTTGTATATCCTCCCTGTAAATGCATCTGCATAATGTGTGTATCCAGTTAACCTACATACAACGTGACATCCCTATGTCATACTGGAAATCAACACTTCTTATGGGGCCTCTTCTTTTGGGGACATCACTGTAGTCACAAGAAAACTCAAATCAAACTCAATAGATATGGAATATCTGTAGTGACAGTAAAATGGCTACGTCACATAACAACATTTCCTTAGATCTGTTTATTTTACCCAATTAACTCCAGATGGCTGCTGCATCTCTCACTAAACTTTTGTCCTTGCTGGCCTTACATCCAAGTATACACTCATCTTCCCCACTCCAGAACTTGGCCTTTCTAAACACCCTCAGGTTTAAACACAACTCAGCTAAACAAGCATGCCTATATTTAGCCAAATCCAGCTCTTCATACCTCTCAGTCCTTGTGTATTCCTAGGTTCAAGTAGTTTCGCACTTTTTTTGTGAAATACTTTGCATTCTTCTGGAAGGAAGAGAAGGCAGTATGTTGCGCTGGCAACTTTTGGACTCACTGACAAGACCCAGCTTTTCCACATGACCACTACTTTAATTCTCACCAATTAGGTTGTGTGGGTGTGACTCAAAGCAGAAGCCTCAGTCCTGAGAGAACACGATAGTTCATTATGATCTCTCTGCTTATGTGTATAGTAAATCAAGAGCCATGCAATATGTAAGTCTCATGTCTTAGTGGACAACATATTGCAAAAGAATGGAGCAAAGTGTGCATAACAAAGGCAATGCAATCAAAGTTATTTAAAATCCTATTAATGAGATCAACTCAGACATTTTCTAGTTCCTTCTTCCCTACTATGTACTGACTAGCCTACTAGGCAGTGCTTACAGCTTTGACCTTTAAGAACCAGTGCAAGTAGGACTGGTATAAAGGACTGTCCGCAGCATACAATGAGACACCATGGAGTCCTTTGTTAATGTCCTGGTTCTCTCAGAAGAAATGAGGTCCTAAATTTCCCTGCAAAGTCTCCTGTGGGAGTGATTTTATGTCAAAGCAACTTCTGCACTCTCCTCTGTTGTTTAATGATGACCAGAGGATCAGAAGAAGGAACTGGTTTACTGGGTTGTAGACTCATAAAAGAACTAAATTTGAGTGTGGAGCTGTCGGTCAATGCATAGGACTGCAAAGTTGGTTTGAACCTCTAGGTCTGCAGTTCAAGCTCACCAGCTGCTCCTTGAAAACCATATACAGGGTCGATATGGGACAGAATTGACTTGATGGCACTTAACAACAACAACAATTCTGTTTTTGAGTGTATATGTCCACTCCAAAGATCATCCAATAAAATTGTCCTTTTTGATTAAGATAAAAATGGAGTGTTTTACCATTTTAAAGTGTACAAGTTTGTAGCATCCAGTACATTCACAATGCAACATCCCCACCATCTGCTTCCAGAACATTTTCATTACCCTAAAAGAAAACCACTGGACCAATAAACAACATTCTTATCAACAGAGAAAAGATTGAAGTTGTCAAGGACAATATGGTAGCATATTAAAAGGGCACAATAGTAAGAGACAACAGTGAGGCAAAGCGTATACTTAATAGGTTCAAATATCAAATTTTTAGCAAACCTCAAATGGACATCTTCCCAAATCATTGAAGCTTTGTACCTAGTTTATAGGAATGCTGCTCCACATAAAACAATAGTTTTTAGATGCATGAAGCATTTAAAGGAAGATCAGAAAAGCCTCAAAGATGAACACACAGAGAGAAAACCATCAACCTTGATGAATAATAGAAACTGTGGCTGGGAAAAAAGATGGCAGATCAGGTGGAAGTGTAGTGATGAGCTCTCCCGAGAACAACACAGAATATAGGACCAAGAAGGCTCAGGTAATGGTCCCAGTACTCTGAACTACATATAAAGGAATATTTAGAAGGCTGGAAGACTTACAGCTGGGGAGTTGGTGGCAGAAGCAAGAAATCCATTGCTTCCTGGTTCAGGACGCTCAGCTGCTCCAGGAGCCGCCATTTTATGTGGGGCCAAGCAGGGAAAGGATCAGAGCAGCCA